CATGTAGCGCTGACTCATTCATTTGTGTTTATTTATTTTTATTTTATTATTATTTTTTTGAGACAGAGTCTTGCTGTGTTGCCCCATGCAGAGTGCAATGGCATCATCATAGCTCACTGCAACCTCAAACTCCTGGGCTCAGCAATTCTCCTGCCTCAGTAGATGTGACTACAGGCATGTACCACCACACCTGGCTAATTTTTCTATTTTTTTGTAGAGACAGGATCTTGCTCTTGCTCAGGTTGGTCTCGAGCTCCTGGCCTCAAGGGATCCTCTTGCCTCGGCCTCCCAGAGTGCTAGGGTTACAGGTGTGAGCCACCACGTCTGGCCGATTCATTCACTTTAATTGCTGCATAGTATTTTACTTTTCATTCTCTTGTTGAGAATATTTAGAATGTTTCCTTCTTTTCGCTATTACAAACAGTGCTGAGACAAACATTTTCTGAAAAGACTTCTGTGCACATGTCTAAGAGTTGATCTAGAGTCCAGACACTTAGGTGTGCGATTGCTGGGTCATAGCTGTGTGCAGCTTCATGTGTGCCACATCTGCAGTCAGTCAGTGTATGCCCCGTCAGCAGCATAGAAGTGACTGTCAGTGGCCACCCATGCCACCTCTTGGTATTGTCAGGACAAATTTTTGCCAATTTTCTGGGTGAAAGTGATATCTCGTCGTTTTATTTTGCATTTTCCTCTTTTATCAATCATGTAGATTTGAGGTTTCTAACCAGGAAGCTGTAAGCTATACCAGTTAACAGGTGTCAATCCTTTTATTTGTACAAGAAGATTGGTGCTCTTCATCTGAAAGTGATGAGAATGGTTAGTAGAATCATTTTCCTCTCAAGTTTTTTTTCATTTAGCTTCCTCTTTCCTCTTCTTTCCTTTCTCCTCTCCACCCCACTCCATAAAAAAAAAAAAATTGAACTAGTTTATGAATACAGCATACAACAGGATTGTTCATTGTAATAATAGAAGGACATTGGGGAGAAGGACAAGAAAATAAAGCCGCAAGCAGTATTGGTATCCAAAAGCCCTGCCATACAGTGTGAGAGACAGGCCATCAGTTGGAGTTGGAGCTTCCCTACAGTCCAAGCTAAAAGGGAAACATGGTAAGCGAACAGACATGTAGAGCCCCAAAGATAAAAGCCAAGCAAGTGTCCTGAGAAACACAGAGTTTCCTGGCACTGGGACCAAGAGAAATTGTTCCTGTGAGTCATCCTTCAGGGGACACAGTGTGATGTAGACTGGACTGCACACCACAAGTCTTTTTCATGCTGTTTGCTGCACATTATATTCCACTGAGTGGGTTGCCAGGGTGTCTCTTACTGTAGCTTTCCCCCACCTTGCTTTGGTAACATTGCAGGGAACATCTTGAGGCAAATGGCTTTTGGCTCCTGTTGGACTGCTCCCAGAGGATTGAGGCTCCGTGTCAGGCTAGAAGTGAAGGCGGGAACCTCCTTGTGTCCTGCTATGTGAGGCCCCAGCACTTTCCCGGTGGGTCAGGCCCATTCATAAAGGCTGACACCCCTGGATGGGACCCAAGTCTGGCCAAAGCCGCACCAGCACCCCTTGACTAAGGAAGGATTTAGAGACCAAGCTCTTGCTGTTCCTCTATTCAAATGCCAAAGACACCTTCCTCCCCACCCCTGCCTGCCACCCTGGGCTGGGGCAGCTTCTCCCTGTGGTCGCCCACTGAGCCACAGTCACTTCCTCCAAAGGTACCCTCCATCCTGGTGGTCAGTTCCAGAGAACCCCATGCCCCCTGGTTGGAGCTGGCCTGAACAGCAGGACAGCTGGGGCTCGCGCTCCGGGCGGCAGAAGCAGGCCCCCACGCTCAAGGCTCCCGTGGCACAGCCGTCCCTCCTGTCTTAAGGGGGGCAGCGGACCCGGCCTGACTCCCAGGAGGAAGACGTGCCCAGCTGGGGAAGCAGGAGCGTGGTGCTGTCAGGGAGCACTAGGCTCAAAAGTCACTTCTGGCTATTGAGCAAGTCATGTCACATCTCTGAGTCAGCGTTCCCTTTTCTATGGGCTGACGAGGAAACCATTTCAATCCTGCCTTATCAGGGTGTTCTTGGATAACCAGATGTACCGAAAGATCTAGGAAATCTGTGAACGCAGTCCCCTCCTTCCCCCTGGCTAGAGGGCCAGCGGCAGGCCCGTGTGCCTCCGCTAGTGTAGATGGGGGCCAGAGGCAGGAAAAGGCCAGGGCCCCGGCAGAGCAGGGAGTGAGGACAGGGAGCGGCAGAGAGGCAGGAAGGCAGCACAGTGGCATGGCCAGACCCACCTGCTCTCAAGTCAGAGAAGCGGGAGACTAACCCCCGGTGTGGCTCCCTCGCCAGCTAGGAGATTGTGAGAAAACGGCTTGACCAAACCTCAGCTTCCTCAACAGAAAAATGGGGATAATATTAGCACCTTTTTCAAAGAGTCGGTTTGAAGTTTAAATGAGCACTTAGATCAGAACCTGGTGCTCAGTAAATATCAGCTATCATTCTTATAGGGGCAGGAGAAAGTGCTCAAGCCTAGAATCAGGAGGCGTCCTCTGAGGCCCCTCCAGCTGTAAGACGACTCTCATTTTGGAAGCTACTCCTCCTGCACGCCCCCCCCAACTGTTACACTTGCTGTCCTGGGAGCCGGGGGGCCTGGGAGAAGAGCGGGTGTTTGGGGCTGGGGACGCACGATCACATGGTGATTTACTGTGGCCAAAAGGAGTCATATAAGGAGTATCCTCAGTCACTGTTATGCCCTCTTGCTCCATCATCATTGCCACCTCCTCTGAGAAGTCTTCCTGGAATCCCTCTACGGGACCTCTCTGCCCTGCACTTCCATCACCTGTCCCTTGTACTTCCTGTTGCCTACTCACACGCACCGAGGTCCCCAGAACCCTTCGATTCCTGCCCCTGACGCCATCTGTGTGATGAGGCAAAATTTCTCAATCTGGCCTCTCCTATAAAATAAGAAAGAAGGCCAGGCATAGTGGCTCATGCCTGTAGCCCTAGCACTTTGGGAGCCCAAGGTGGATCGCTTGGGGGTCAGGAGTTTGAGACCAGCCTGAGCAAGAGCAAGGCTGTCTGTACAAAAAAATAGAAAAATTAGCCGGGCACAGTGGTGCACGCCTGTAGTCCCAGATACTTGAGAGGCTGAGGCAGGAGGATCACTGGAGCTCAGGAGTTTGAGGTTACAGTGAGCTATCATGACACCACTACACTCCAGCTTGAGTGACAGAGTGAGACCCTATCTCAAAGACAAAAGAAAGTTCTTACCAAGAGTATATATTGGAGTTGGCTGCCTAGAGGCCATTTTGCTTACAGCTCACAACTAAATTGTCTGAAAATATTTTTTAACTTTAAATTTTGACTTACTTTTAGACTTATAGAAAAGTGGCAAATTGGTAGACTATTGTTGCCCCCCCAAAAAATAAATAATAAAAAAATAGAAAAGTGGCAAAAATAATACAGGGAATTTCTATACATCCCTCACCAGCCTCCACCAATGATGGTGTCTTACCACCTACAGTCCGATGGTCCAGAGAATTAACATTAGTATGATACCATTAGCTAAAGGCTTCATTTGAATTTTGCCAGTTTGAGACTTTTTTTAAAGTTAAGTTTCCAAAGTTGTAATTGGCTGACCTGAAGTTTCATATGAGCTTTTAGCAAGGGATTTAAGGTCTTCCAGATATTTCCGTGCATTTTAACAATCGCTTTCAGAAACCAAACCTCACCACTTTCTTGGTTTTTATCTAATTTAGCAACCTCCTACATTTTCTAGTGTGATTGACTCCAGTTTTCCCAATTAAAATTTTTATTATAAATTATTTTAATATTTCAAATATGCAAATATATATCTATAAAGTCACTGATTAGGAATGTCAAAAAATTCACATGAGCCCAAGTGTGCTCTATTAAAGCATCTGACAACATTTAAGGTGTTTATGGATTTATCCATCCTTTGCATTGATTCTGGGCCCCTGGGGTTTGAGGCGCGCAGGTTGGGAACCACCAGGAAATCCATAATAAATCCAAACGTTAAGAAATTTCAAAGAATCACTTAGAGTTAGTGCCCTGTCACTGACTGGGGGAGGCAGCTGCCTTCCCTTTAACTGCCTGACAAGCTCCGGAAAAGGCTTCTTGGCACCCAGGAAGAGGAGGCCAGGAGAATCCCAGGCTTGCAGGAGGGCAGAGAAAGTGTCAGGACATGTGGAAGCAGTCAGGGGAGAGCACGGGAGAGGTGGAGCCATCTGGGGGTGGTGGGAAGAGGACGGGGAGGCAGGGACTAGGGGTGCGGACTTCCAAGTCAGGCAGGGCTGGGATCCAATCCCACCAACATTGCTTGCTATCCATGTCATCTCAGGCAAATTATATCTCTGAACCTCAGCTGCTTCATTTGTAAAGCTAGGATAATACCTTCCTTGTGACTTAACACTTAACACAAACCAAGGCATATACTAAAAACTCAAAAAAAAAAAAAAAACAACCCTCAAAAAAGAGGCAGCTGCTAGTAGTATTAGTAGTGCCAGTAGCAGCAGCTGCAGGCACAGTCACAGCCCCCAATAATGACATAAAGGAGAAGAGAGTGCTACGCCGTCTCCATGGCTGTGGACGTACGTAGGTGTAGGGAGGTACTAACGTGGATCCCGCGGGCAGGGAGAGAGAATTGCAGTGTGGGGTGCCCCATGGCTTGAGAAGAAACAGGGTGAGTGAGGATGGCACCAGGAGGACCAGGGCGCTAAGTCCCACCTGGCTTGCTTACTTTCCTCTGGAAGCCTGTTTCTTCCCCATCTCCCCTGACACCTGGCTGCTTCCCCCTGTCCCTGGCAATAGCAGGGTGGGGGGTGCTGAGGCCTGGAGATATCCCTTCCCCACCCTGAGACCTGGTAGGCCATTTTATGGAATCCTAAATCAGTCCGAGGGCCAAGGCCCCCATGCACAGTCCTGTGGAGAAGGAGCCCTCTCCCTCCATCCCCGCCCAGGCCTCCCGCTGCCCACAGAGTCCTGGACGCTGAGTGAGGGGCACGCAAGGCTTTATTGGCTCCGCCGCAGGCATCAGCGTCAGTGCGGGCCTCTCGGCTGCTCCTGGGGTCTGCCTCGTCTGTCTTCTCTCAGTGGGGCCTCAGGGGCCTCAGGGGGTGTGTCAGCTGCTTTGCTTCCTCCCAGCCCTCCTTCCACCAGGGGCCATCCTCTGTGACAGACGCCACTCGTGGAGTCCAAGGGGCCATCATCCCCATGGGGGGCCTGAGGGTGAAGGGGCTTCGGCAGCAGCATCTCACCCTGGGCCACATAGATTGCCACATAGGAGAGAAACAGGCCTGTGTACGGGGCCAGCCCTGCTGGGGGAAGGGGCATCTCCATCCATGGTTAGGTGGCTTCAAAGGAGTCATAGGTGGCTGCGGTTGGGCAGGCTGTGCCTCTGGTGGCTGGAGTGGCTTGGGTGACCCTGGTGGCTCAGGTAAACTGGGTGACCCTGGTGGCTCGATTGGCCAGGATGACACTGTTGGCTCGGCTGGCCTGGATGACCCTGGTGGCTCGGTTGGCCTGGGTGACCCTGGTGGCTCGGTTGGCCTGGGTGACCCTGGTGACTCTGGTGGCCATAGTGACCCTGGTGGCTCTGGTGGCCATGGTGACCGTGGCCATAGAAAGTGTGTATGTGGTTGGCACCAGCTATGGTGTTTTCCCGCTTGTTGAGGAAACTCCCTTTCAGCTTCATCTCCACCTCCTCGAGGGCCTTCAACTCCTCCTGGTTGATGTCCCTGGACTGCAGGTGGCCTGACTTCTTGCAAGCCGTGGCCCGCTGCAACATGGAGTTAGCCAGTTGCCGTCCCTTGGTGTCGATCTCCTTGGTGCAGGCAGCCACGGCAGCCCACGTGGCCTCATCTGAGGACGAGGATTTTCCAGACTCCTTGTGGGTCTCTTTGATCACCGTGGACCCAGGGACCTTTTGCTTGCTGGTGAAAGATTCCCGGCGCAGAGCAGTGCCCACTTCTCCTTGCCTGGTGGTGACGGTCTCCATGTGAACGGTGGTGCTGGCCTCTCCGCCCCCACTTTCGGGCTGGGGAGGGTTGTGGCTGGTGCTGGCACCATTGGGGACCAGCTTCTCTTCGGAAAGGCGGCTAAAGTGAGATTTGATCCAGTTCTCATTCTCCGCTTTGTGGCATTCCGGTGACTCACCCTTATTTTTTGCAGTTTGAAGGATTGCCTTCCTTCTCTTTCTCTGAACCCACAGCATGAGGCCTCCACCTCCTAGTATAAGGGCGGCCCCCAGCACCACCTTGCATGATGGTTGCTGGATGAGCTCCAAGAAGTTCTCCAGGACCCTACGCCAGGCACGCAGAGCTAAGAGCACACTGGGAGTGGGGGAGCCCAGGTGGTGTGGCTCATGCTTGAAAGGGCAGGCTCCCCAAGGGTTTCTGGCAGGCAGGCCCCCTACTACAGCCCTCTATAATGCCCCTACCGCCTCAGCAATGAACCCCATTGTGAGGAAGGCAGTTGGGGGTGGGGTGGGGAGATGCCACAGCATCCCTTATGTCTAGCCTGGCAGGCATTGCCTGAGGCCTAGGTCCTATCTCCCACCCTGACAGCTGTCCCCAAAGTCAGTAAAAAGGCAGCTTCTTCAATTCTGAGTCCCTCTGCCTTCTGCTTGTAACCCATTCTGCAACTTATTCCTTCTTATCTTCCAGTCTTTGGTTTCTCTTCTTCCCCAAGAGGGCAGAGGGTACCGTGTCAGGCTGGCCATGGCAGAAGGACCCCCTTGGCTGGGCTGGCATCCATTCCTGGCTACACGAGCCTGGTGTCTCCCTCTATCTAGGGTACATCTCTGCTGCCAGCTTGGCATATTCCCTCCCCACTTGCAGTCCCCAGCCCCATTACAGGGCAGAGTCCAGAAGGAAAAGGGCCTAGGAGGGAGCTCATTCTGGAATAACATGATGTCACAATTGGGGAAGACAAGCAATGGGCTGAGAAGGCAGAGTGGATAGGACAGGATATGTCACTGGGTTCAGATCCCTAGGGCCATTCCATGATGGGGCTGCTACCTCTTGCCTTAGTGATGTATCTGCAAACGAAGAATTCACCCCTTGGGAAATGGGTATGGTTCAGGTTGTGAGTGGGTGGACTCCTGGCCTGGTGGCTTCCTGTAGGTGCAGATACTGAGAGCCCAAGTAAAACCCAGGGCCTCTAGGTAGAAACAGGCCTGGGCCACTGCATTTTTATTCCCCAGGAGGTTTCTAGCACATTAAAAAACATAAGGGAATGCCAAAATAGGGTCGTAAAAATTGTGATCTATTTTTTTTTTTTGGATTTTTTTTTCTTTTAGAAATTCAGAATCAATGAAATTATGATCTTTTAAATAAAATATTTTCTTTAACAGAGTCATGGTTTTTTTTATAAAGCCTTCTTTATTACTCTTGTTAAAATTAATTATGCTTTCCTTTTTGCTTCTACAGCATGTTTATATATCTGTTTAGTATTTATTTCATTCTCTTTTATTTTCTTTGAAAATCCACGCATCTGAATTGTTCTATCTTTGATATGATTATTTTGTCTCTTATTCTGGATTGTAAGTGCTTTGAAGGCAAGGACACTGTCTTTTTTATATTTGTATTAACTATCTTCCATGTGTCTTACACATATCAATATACTAAAAAAAAAGATGTATTTTGTCCCCTAAGGTAATTTTTATTACAAATAGGCACATTTAACTTTTTTTTTTTTTTTTTTTTTGAGACAGGGTCTTGCTCTGTTGCCTGGGCTAGAGTGCTGTGGCATTAGCCTAGCTCACAACAACCTCAAACTCCTGGGCTCAAGCAATCCTCCTGCCTCAGCCTCCCAAGTAACTGGGATTACAGGCATGCGCCACTATGCCTGGCTAATTATTTCTATATATTTTTAGTTGGCCAATTAATTTCTTTCTATTTTTAGTAGAGATGGGGTCTTGCTCTTGCTCAGGCTGGTCTGGAACTCCTGACCTTGAGTAATCCTCCTGCATCGGCCTCCCAGAGTGCTAGGATTATAGGCATGAGCCACCTCACCTGGCCTTCAGTTTTTATTATATTAAAATAATAATAAGCAACACTACTGTAACACTAAAAAACTGTGAAGAGTTAATAAAAATTTGATAGTTGTAGATTTTTTAATATATTTATATACATTTATATTTATATATTTATATAAGGTCTTGTTAAGTAAGCTTCCTTCCCATATCTCTCTACTTAACCAGGGATAAGATGAGAATTGAAAGAAACTGAGGACAGTTTTGCTGAGCTAGGGCCAGTAACTATATCAATCTCATTTTTGTTAATTTTTTTCAAGAAACATCATAATCAAATGACTAAAAGCCATCCAAAACACTGGGAAAGGTTCTGAGACCCAGAACCTCTATGTAACACTGATCAGAATTGATGACTACCAGAAAAAGGTTATGCAGGTCTGGACTGAGAAGCAGAAGTCTCTAGAGCAGAAACACCCAGAGTCATGGTCTTAATGTACACAAAAAATATTATATCTTATCACAAGAAGCCATCATCCATTCTACATACTGAAGGAAGAAGACACAGCTTAAAGTTTCACTGGGAACCTCATCCCTGCAGTCCTGCTGTAGTATCTATCTCTGTGTTGTCCACTAACGTCATTTGGAAATAACAATCCAAAGTCCATCTTGGAGGTTGTTTATGGATGTGAGTTCAGGGCCACATGGCCCTTCTGCAACAACCCCTCCCTCCTGTCACTGATTATAACTTTTATTTAAAAAGAAAACTCTTTATTCACATAATCCCTACAAATTAGCAGTACCAAAAAAATAAAAATAAAGATTAAAAAAAAAAAAAGAGTTGCACAGTTTCAGCTGAAGCCTTCCAGAAGAATCTTTAACTGTTCACCAATTCATTCAGGGCAGGTTCCCACCTCTTCTAGAGGATGCTTTATCTCATTGCAGGGGGCCCTTGCAACGTGAAGAGTGTTTTTTCTCACCCCTGCTTCTGAGTGTTGGGCTACAAAGTCTATCCCTGGGGCCAGGAGAGGGCAAAAGAAACACAGATATAAAAGCTAAAGTCAGGCTGGCACAGTGGCTCACGCCTATAATCCTAGTACTCTGGGAGGCTGAGGTGGGCGGTGGGTGGGTCGCTCAAGGTCAGGAGTTTGAAACCAGCCTGGGCAAGAGTGAGACCACGTCTCTACTAAAAAATAGAAATAAATTAATTGGCCAACTAAAATATATAAAAAATAAATAAATAGAAAAGCTAAAGTCGTTGGCTGCTTCCTTCCTGGGCATTTTAGCTGTGTCCTGGGTGCAGTGGCAGGACCCTCTGGCTGTGGTCTTGGTGCCAGTGCCCCATGTTTGAACTTGGGAGGAACATGCTGACCCTGTGGCCAGAAGCCTGGAGACTCAGTTCCTACTCTAAAATGAGGAACCCGGATTAAAGAGGTTAAATATTTTCCCCAAGGTCACTGTGACTGGCAGAACTGGCTGAGTTTTGCCCACGTCATCTACCGCCAGATGCCAGGCTCTTTCTACCATGGCCACTGCCTCTCTGGTGTGTGGGTGAGCAATCAGATGGGAGCAGGAGCCTGTGTGGGTTGCAAGGGAGACAGACTCATGGGCACATCTGGCCAAGTCCAGCAAAGCGTGCACTGGGCATCCCCATCCCTCTGCAGGCATGGGTAGCTGGCACAGAAGGGAGGGTCCAGAGAGGAGTCTGAGGGTCTCTGGATTCTCTGCGTGGCAGGCAGGCACCAGATGCAAAGTCTACCCTCCCTACCCTGAACAAGAGAGTCCTTGAACTCTGACACTGACGTTCAAGGAGCTTCTTCTCACTTTGCTTCAAGAGAAACAGGCCTAAGCCCAACCCATGAGCCAAGCTACAGCAAAGGATTACTTACTTTGTGTCCCTGTTCAATACAGGCATCCATGGGGCATTCACTGTCCCCCAGGGAAGGAGCACATCCCCTCAGCACTGAGTAGACCCTTGGACCCGTGGTCACTATCACAAAGTGGCTTTGTCACAGTGTCAATCATACTCATTTTAATAATTATCGTCACTGGGCACAGTGGCTCACGCCTGTAATCCTAGCACTCTGGGAGGCTGAGGCAGGCGGATTGTTCAAGGTCAGGAGTTCGAAACCAGCCTGAGAAACAGTGAGACCCTGTCTCTACTATAAATAGAAAGAAATTAATTGGCCAACTAAAAAAAATATATATAGAGAGAGAAAAAATTAGCCAGCCATGGTGGCGCATGCCTGTAGTCCCAGCTACTCAGGAGAGGCTGAGGCAGGAGGATCACTTGGGCCCAGGAGTTTGAGCTTGCTGTGAGCAAAGCTAATGCCATGGCACTCACTCTAGCCTGGGCAACAAAGTAAGACTCTGTCTCCAAAAAAAAAAAAAAAATAATAATAATTATAATAATTATCGTCATTAGAGTCAATACCTTCAAGTGTATACCACTCTATACTTCACAGCATGCTTCATTCACATTCTTTCAGATTTTTCTCCCAACCACCCCGATATGGGCATTTCACTCTCATGTGTCAGAGGGGGAAACTGAGGTTTTGAGACATTATCCCATAACAAATCAGTGGCAGAGCTTTGATTTGAAACCAGAGTCCAGGGTGTACACTGCACTGCCTTGGGCAGATCCACACCAATCCCAAAGCTAGTGAAGACCTGTGTTGAAACACTGTGTGGTTTAGCAACTCAGGTGGGTGTAATGAGAGTAAGGAATGGAGTGAAATGGCAAATCTCAGCTCAGCCAGGTATTAGCCGAGTGACCCTGGCAATGACTGTGTCCCTCTGAGCCCTGGATCCCCATCTATGAGATGGTGCTATTGAGAGTACTACCTCGGGGAAATGCCATGGTGACGGATGAGGGTGGGCAGGGCAGGGCAGGTGGAATGTGCCCTTTCCTTCTTCCTTCATTCATTGCATCCATGGCTGTGTTGCATGTGGAGCGTCACAAGTATGATCTGGTACCTGACCTCAGAGACAGGGAGACACATGTGTAAAGGCGGGGACCCATGTCAGAAGAGCCAAAATGGAGAATTAATCTTGTCAAGGAAGGCCTGGTCCAGAGAGTATGGGAACAAGGCTTGAGGGAACTGAGACCAGCCGACACCCTCACATCTGCACCCAGTGCCTGGCCGACCCCCATTTCACACCCATTATCCAGTTTGGTCCCACAGCAGCGCTGGGAGCTAAGGCAGCAATTAGTTCACAACTGGGGAAACTGAGGCGAGTGAGGTTCAGTCCAAGGTCATAGGCCAGTAGGAAGCTTCCTGCTGTCCCCTGACTCCAGACCAGTGGTCCTGTTTCTCTCCTGTGATAAAATGACCCACCGAGTACTAGACTATCCCCAGCAACTTGCAAAGCCTGTGTACCCTCCCATGGTCGCTGGCCGGAGAGCACAGGGCCACTCACATCTCCATGGCGCCCACAGTGGACAGGCCCTACTTACCTCGGAAGGGGAGGGTGCCCAGTTTGTGCAGATTCTCTTCCAGTTTCCCATAGTCCACCTCTGCGGTGGCAGTGAAAGGGGTGGTCAGAGGGGGGTAGATGCCCGAGATGTCCACCTTCTTCCCCTCCCCTGAGGCCAGGCCCCTCACATTCCGCGCCAGGCCCTTGCTCAGCCCCTGCCTCACAGAGGACCAGACTCTGGGGCCCATCATCTCTGCAGCAGGCCCAAGGCCCTGTGGGTCTGTGCCCCTGAGTGAGACGGGGTGTGGACTCCTTCCAACCTCCGTTAATGATCAATGTGTCTAGTTAAAAATTTGTAGCCCCCTTGACTTGTGGCCACTGGGGCAGGCCAGAGCTGGGTGTCCCCAGAGTCAGGGACAAGGCCTATAGGCCCCAGGGGCATTGGC